TTTCGTCGTACGACGCTCTGCATCCAATCAGAAAACAGGATTCCGATAATACGAAGCAAAATTCATCGGAATCCTGTTTTCTGATTGGTTGCAGAGTGTCGTACGACGAAAATCAGATGCAGGATGAATCCAGCATATGGATTCCATCCCTACATACCTAGTGCCTTAATTACAACATACGGCATACGGTTATGGCCAATATAAACGCTCCCCAAATGTAAACTAAATCCATGGCGTCTCCCGCCCAAATCTGGGGACTTTTTGTAATCGCCAGCCTGCATGTTATACAAATGTCGCTTTTGCGGGCTCTGCCAACAAATCGGTCGAATGTTTTCATTGCGTTTGACGTCGAAGTCTCGCATGCCCGATCGTGTTCTGGAGTAACATTACGAATGATATGCACGCCAGACTTCTCGTCACATCATGTACATTAAGCAGGTATTGTGTTTGCAAATCGTATTTGTGTCGCAATCTAACACATTCTTGACGGAACTATGCTTCGTCTTTTCTTTATTCGACTTTACCCACCTTTCTTCCATTCTAATTCTTGATTGGATTATTATTGAGGCTTTATTACCATGAATTATAAATTACTGTCGAATTTCTGAGGCTAATGTACTAATTTGGAGCATCAATACATTGTTATTGCAATTTCTTTGATGGGTTTATGTTGAAACAGGTAATTATCCAAGGATTTAAGTCATATCGTGAACAGACGGTTGTCGAACCTTTTGATCCAAGGCACAATGTAGTGGGTATGTAACTGATGATCTTATGTAGGATTGATGTACAGTTAAGTAATATGGAGTTTTTGCAATAACATAAATCTAGATACGGTGAATGCTAAAGTCACCCTTTTCTTAGGGCCTCAGCAAAGGTTTTTTTCGTTATCCAACCAGAAACAACCATGGCTAAGGCTATCTTTGTCTTCAGGGATCAGAAGACGAAGATAGCCTTAGCCATGGTTGTTTCTGGTTGAACGAAAAAACGCTACACATAATGGCTGACTTATAATCTTAAGACAGCGTCTTATGACATAAGTCTTGTCTTTAGTAATGCACAAGAACTGTCTTAAGATTATAAGTCAACCTTCTGCTATGGCCCTTAATTAGTTGTTAAGAAGAAAACCTGACCTTAGCGTTTACTGTATCTGAATAAACGGTATTGCAAAAACTCCCTAATAAGGTTGATATGATTGTACATATATATTGTAACTAAATACTTTTCTTCTAAGTTGGCAGAAACGGTTCTGGAAAGAGTAACTTCTTTTATGCAATTCAATTTGTCCTGAGTGATGAGTTCTCTCATCTCAGACCAGATCAGAGACAGGGACTGTTGCATGAAGGAACAGGACCTCGTGTTATATCTGCTCATGTAGAAATCATATTTGATAATTCTGATGGAAGATTACCGGTAAAAATCATTAGTAGTTTATGTTACTAGTTGTTTGTACATATATATATGTGTCTATATATATATATATATTTAAATATACATATATTTAATATCGTTTTAGATTTTGTCAATATGTTTATAATATTTTAATAATATGTATAATTTTGTTTTTCATTCAGATCGATAAAGATGAAGTTTATTTAAGGAGAGTAATCGGCTCCAAGAAGGACCAATATTTTCTCAACAAAAAGATTGTAACAAGGAACGACGTGATGAATTTATTAGAGTCAGCAGGATTTTCTAGGTCCAATCCATATTATATTGTGAAGCAAGGAAAGGTTTGTTAACATATCACACATATTTATATTTATCTGTAGTATAATATAATTATTTTGCAGATAAACCAAATGGCAACAGCACCAGATTCCCACAGATTGAAATTATTAAGAGAGGTAGCGGGTACTAGAGTATATGATGACAGAAGAGAAGAATCAAAATCTATTTTGAAAGAAACAGAAGGGAAACTAGAAAAAATCGAGGATTTTCTGCGAACAATAGGTAATTATAAAGATAAAACTCTCTTAAAGAATTATTTAAAATAAATGAAGTAAAATGAATAAATAATTATTTTATATTACAGAAGAGCGTTTGAAAACACTTGAGGAAGAGAAAGAGGAATTGAAAGAATATCAACGTTGGGACAAACAACGTCGTTGTTTAGAATATACAATCCATGAACGCGAACTTAAAGAAAATAAAAGAAAATTAGAAGAGCTCGAAGAGTCTAGAGCGAATAGCGGAGCCGAGCAAGCAAGACTAGGTGCCGAAGCTAAAACGGCGCAAGAGATGGTACGTGCAGCTACAAAGCGGTTAAAGGAAGCGAAAAAGGAAGTACAAACTGCCAAAGAAGAAAGAGACACTCTTAGGTAACACACATACTAAAAATTGCATATATAAAATAAAAATACAGCAGAGAAATATTTATAATAAAATGTTTGTAAAATACAGTGCAGAACAACAGCAATTGCTAAAAGAAAAGAATAAATTAACTTTTACTATTAACGACTTGCTAGAGGAAGTAAAAGGTGATAATGACAGCAAGAAACGAGCTCAACAAGAGTTGGAAAAATTGAAGTCTAATATCGCTGCTCGGGAAACCGAGCTAAAGTCTCTTAAGCCAGAGGTGAAAAAATATTCAGATATTTAATATATTTAAATATATATTTAAAATTATGTGTGTTTATTTAAAATACTGGAATGTGTGGGGAAACATTTTTCTTTACAGTATGAACGAATGAAACGTGTTGAAGAGGAGTGTACACGAGAATTACAATTAAAAGAGCAGAAACGTAAAGAATTATATGCTAAACAAGGTCGTGGTAGTCAATTTACCACTAAGGTAAAAATAAAAAAAATTATTGTAAATCCATAATAATTCAAGTTGCATTTTTGTTTTTATACTTAAATCCCAATATAATTTATTTGCACTGGTAGGATGAAAGGGATAAGTGGATACAAAATGAGCTTAAGCAGCTTACGAAACAGATAAAGGATAAAGAAGAACATCAAAAAAAGATTAGCGAAGATTTAAAACGTGATGCAGAGAAACAGATTGCTTTGGAGAAAAAAATAGGAGATCATACACGCGAGATGGAACAGCAACGTGCGTCAATAGATGATCATAACAAGCAATATTATGAGCTTACGAAATCGAAAGATCAGTGTCAAGCAACTCGAAAAGAACAGTATGTTTAATTTATTAAATTAATAAACGCGTTAGAAATCTTAGAATTTTACAAACTGAATATGTCGAATTGTAGGTATCGGCAGGAGAGTGTATTGCAATTAAATTTATCTGGTCTAAAGGAGGATTTAGCGAAAGCAGATCAAAGTCTAAGATCCATGGCCGGCAAACCTATTTTAAATGGCAGGGATAGCGTACGCAAAGTACTAGACACTTTTCGGTAAGATTAATTTTTTTTATAATATAGATTATATGCACAATTTTTTTAAGAGATAAATCTATAATGATGACATATTCATATGTAATATGTACAATATTTAATATCTTTGTAGTGGACGAAAAGATATGGTTAATGAAGTGAGCAGCTATTATGGGCCTGTAATTGAAAATTTCAACTGTGACAAGAGCGTCTATATGGCTGTTGAAGTGACCGCTGGGAATAGATTGTTTCATCACATTGTGGAAACCGACAAGTTTGGCACAAAAATTTTAAAAGAAATGAACAATCAACGGTTGCCGGGAGAAGTAACTTTTATGCCACTGAATAGACTTCACGTAAAGGATATTGATTATCCGCAGACCTCTGATGCTATACCCATGATATCCAAGTTGAATTACGATCCCAAATTTGATAAAGCGTTAAGGTAAAAGCATATAAAATAAAAATTATTAAATAAGAATTTTTTTCTCTTGCCTTATTTCTTTGTAATATATAAAAGCATTATATTATTATCGTATCATATTATATTTTTGTTAAATATAGATATATATTTGGAAAGACTTTGATCTGTCGTAATCTGGAAGCAGCAACGACTTTGGCGCGGGATTCCGGTTTAGATTGCGTTACATTAGAAGGAGACCAAGTTTCATCCAAAGGTTCTTTAACTGGCGGATATTTCAATACACTCAGGTCACGGCTTGAGATACAAAAAACTAGATCGGAATTAATGTCACAAATTTCTACTCTCGAAACCCAATTAACGACGCTTAAGGAAGAAATCAGAAAGGCAGATCAAAATATTAGTTCTTACGTTAGCGAAATGCAGAGAACTGAAACTAAAAATAGTAAAGCTAAGTAAGTAATTAGATGTTATTTTTAATCTAGTATTAAAATCTAGTATTAAAATTAATATTAATTTCAAAAATTATATATATAATATA